ATAATTTGAAAGAAATTAATACCTTTATTCAGCAAGGATGCATTTGATCAAATGTGACAGTAAAGATGGTTTACATTGTCACAAAAGATTTCTACTTAAAAAAAAGTTATTTTAAACTTTCAATTCATCAAAAAATTCTGAAAACAACAGTATTCCACACAGTCTCCTCAAAAATATTAAGCAGCACAACTGTTTTCAACATTAATAATAATATGAAATGTTTCTTGAGCAGCAAATCAGCACATTAGAATGATTTCTGAAAGATCACGTGAGACTGAAAACTGGAGTAATCGCTGCTGAAAATGTAGCTTTGCTATCACAGAAATCATTTATATTTAAAAAAATATATTAAAACAGAAAACAATTTGAAATATTTAATTTGAAATAACATTTCATAATATTACTGTTTTTATTGCAGTCTTGGTGAGCATAAGAGACATTCTACTACTATCATCACATTAACCCTTTCAAAAACTTTACCGACCACAAACTTATTAACAGTAGTGTATATACTGTATATGACAAACAGGTCAGAGTTCAGTAAAGGATACTTCCATTCCACGATACTGATGCACGCCCTGCGGATGGGGTTTTTAAGAGTGAGGCAGAGAAGGGCTCGGGGTGGGCGCGTGGAGGCAGTGCTGGCCTGTTTCTTGGGTTTGGTGTAGTGCTGGCGTTTGCGCTGTGTGGAGCTCGCAGTGGAGATCGGGGCTGCGGTGGTGCCCATCAGCTTGGCCTGCCGTGCCGCGTTGATGGCTGCCTGCCAGTTGAGGGGGGCACCAGGGGTGGGAATGTGTTCAGGTGCAAGACCCAGCACCCCACCCCCGCCCTCCACATGCTCGTCCTCATTCAGACTGGGGACTGGAGCCAACGACGGACTGGAATAGTTGGAGCCTGCAGAGGAAGAGAAGGAGACAGTGAATGAGAAAGTGTGAGAGAGACGTTAATGTAGCACTAGCACAAAAAAAGAAAATTCTCTACAAAACACAAAATAAGTGGAGATGTGTGCTGTTTGGTTCTGTATTAACCTGTAATACATAGAGAGGTTCTGTAATATTTAGGTGTTATTGATGTCATATTGAAATATTTTTTAAATATATATTTTTTAATCATATCTTCCTTGGCAACTTTCCTAATGCCTTTTAGGGTAGATTTGAAAAGCCAAAAAATAAAAGATTTGATTGTTTTACCACTGTCCCAGCCCCAGATCTTCAGTCATTTAAGAGAGTTTATTTTATAGAAGTCCACAGGGACAACAAAGCTCACAGCCAGATGGACAAGCGGTTATTAAAACAGTTTGTCTGCTTGTCACGTGTTGTACTTGTCCAGTCAATGTTATTACGCTTGTAAATATGCAAATAAGACCATCAAATCCATCCACAAATGGGTTTAAAAATGTACAGTGTGAAATCTCAAAGCCTGGCAACCCAAGATTAAACACCCCTGGTATTTATTTGTAATAACTCCTGGGTAAACAATTTCAAGTGTGAAAAGCCAATCAGTGTTCTTTTATATTAACTGTCTTGTTTTGAGGCATTCCAAAATAACCATACTGGCCAATTGCAACAGAGTATTTGTATTATATCGCACTAAACATCACACATGGCAGCCCTGCAGGACTGTGTCCCATCTCCATCTGCAGTCCGAAAGCGTCAAATCCAAAGAGAACCACCGTCAACCGTCCTACTGAAGTGTGTGTGTGTCAGGAATGAGAAACACAGTAGTAAGCCACAGAACTGAAAGTTTCTCCCATCCTGTACCCTCATTTTTCTCTCTCCCCCTTCTCTTTCTAATAAATGGTTCAGCCCATCGAATAAGCCAAAGTCTGGATTAGTTTGAAATGTCATGTAAGAATGACATCAGTGAGTTTATCTATGCTAAAATATTTTCTCCTATCCCAGTTTAACATGTCGTTTTTTGTAGAGTGATGCTGCGATGCTAGTGGTGCAGAAATCACATTCTTTAGACGTCTTTATAGGAGAAAGTGCTGGGTTTTGGTCATTAGGATTCAGTAAAGTATGTCTGAGAGTAAGAAGAGAACTGGAGAGTTGTTCTGTGTTATCTCACTCCTGTTAAATTACAGGAAGTCAGAGTGGGCTTTTCTCGATGACATGCAGACTCTCGTAAAGCACCATTTCTAATTAACGTAGTAAAGCCATGCTCTAGATAAAGGACTTTCAAAAGGAAGAATCTCAGTTACTCATCCTGAAGTACCTACATTGCATTCACTCTCTTGCGAGACTCTGACACATTTTTTTCTAATTGGAAGATGAATTTGTTTCTTATTGTTAGACACAAATGAACATGCATAAAAGCAGAAAAAAAAGAGCTACACACACACACACTCACTCTTGTAAACTTGAATTCACATAAAGCAAAGACTAGGTGTCAAGGAAAATCACCAAATTTCAAATCCCACATTCATTCACACAGATCAAATCTGCCGAAATCTCACCGAAAACTTTCTAAAGTTTGAGCCATGAGCTCTGACAGCCACTAAAGCTGTTCGCTTTGGAATCCATATTGCTGATGGATGAACTGAGATTCAATCACATTTTGCAACTGCATCACCACAGACACCAGGGGATCCCCTTCTCTCTGATCTGAAACCTGCAATGGGCTTCTCTTAGAGCTTTTGAATAGAGGGTCATTTTAAAAGAGGCACATCCACATTGTATTTTAACTAGCAGCTTCAAACTTGTAAACACTACAATGTACACACATGAACACATCGTATGAACAAATGGATGACTGTAAAAATGTGAATTAAAAACCTTTTTTTTAAAGAAAGGATTCTTTCACTATAAACAAACAAACAGACATCCACTGGCATCAGCCACTCTCAATGATCTTTCAGCATTTGTAAGTAGCAATTAGTACTGGATGAGCAGAAACAGGCTGAAACGAATGGGGAGGGACTAAATGAGCTAGGGGAGGGGCTAATATATATTGGGGAGGGGATAACTATAGTTTGGTTCCAAAATATGGTGTTTTTTGGCCATATGTCACCATTTTCACTCCAGCAGCTAAGTTAACACACACATACCTTGTGCACGTGTTAATCTAGTGCACTGCATGGATGAGTGTATTTTAACACCACAGTCACACACTCTCTCACATACTGTTTTATGAGTCAGCATCACCATTCATATATTCATCTCACCACACAAAAACACATACACCCGTTCACTCTCTCTCTCTGAGCTGTACATTAAAGGTATTTTCACTGCTGCATCACAGCAGTGGATGATTTGACCACAACTGTACAAGAGAATAAAACATTACTGCTCTGATTTCTACTAGTTCATTCTGCTCTGGTTTCTTCTGCAGCCAGGCCATTTTGTCACAACACTAGGATAAAGACACCTGTTAAACACTGTAAAAGAGGGAGTGATATTGTTTGGAGGTGTGGTTGAGAGTGTGATATTAGGTGTTCGACTTTCGACTGCGGCTGGATTTAACTGATCAACTAGATTTGCCGCTTATAGAGACATGAAGTCGAACACTTTCTGCTTGCTATAGTGACACTTGTGCAGTGTTTGCATACTCTACCACAGATGAAGTGGATTAGATGCAATATTTGTCAAATACACAGACAATTGTGAAGGTTTTATGTAGCAACAGAAACACTTTTCATTCAATACTCTATGTACTGCATAATACAGGGCCTGTATTACAAGAATAAAGTTCAACATAAGCCTATACTATTTAAATACCGATAAAGTGGGGACTATATTTTTTTATCAATTTTGTTTTGATAAACATGACAATATAACATTAAGATGAAAATATTTTTCCTATTATAAAAACAGGTATTTGTTTGCATTAGCAGAATTGCAAACATGTCAGAACAAACATGTAATGTACATCATCGTCGTCACCAGTGAATCCGGCCAAATGTGAAACTACTGTGCCGTCATCAGAGCTTGTGCAGCTGCTCTGTAAAAGCTGTGCAGAATGTATTTTGATGGCTGATGTCACAGTGATCTGGCATTGGCACAATCTCAAGTTGTACAAAATTTATAACTGGCATGTACTTCTTCAAATCAGACTGCAATTGCAGGAATGCATCCACAGCACACATGAATTTGTACACACCTACTGCCTGGGGGTATGGATAAGAGTGTGATATAGTTTGGAGGTGGGGTTAAGGGTGTGGCTTTGTTTGGGGGTGTGGTTAAGGGTGTGGCATTAGGTGTGTTTGACACAGACCGATCGGCGAGAGTTGCCGCTTGCAGTCGGGGGCGGAATTGAAAGCAGAAATGTCAAGTCGGACACTTTCAGCTCCTGGTAGTGGCGCTCGTGCTGTGTTTGCATATTCTATCACAGATGAAGTGAATTAAATGCAATATTTGTCAAATACACAGATGTTTCAGAAACGTTTTCATGACACAACAAAACTACTTTTCATATACTGCTTAATACAGCGCCATCTGTTCAAGAATAAAGTTCAACATAAATATACACTATTTAAATACCAATAAAGTGGGTCTATATACTTTTATCAGAGTTTTTTGATAAACGTGTTACGTGACGCAATATAACATTGCAACTACAGTAAACGAGCTTTTGCTGTTATGAAAACACAGATTTTTGAGCATTAGTGGAACTGAAGGTGTCAGAATAAACCTGAAACACACGTCATCGTTGTCATGTGGTGAATTCGATCCAATCGTGAAACAGCTGTGTCGTCATCAGCGCTCCTGCAGTTGCTCTGGAGAAACTGTGCCGGCTGAGTCTCTCGAAACACTCTCGCAGTACTTTCATGCTATACATCACAGTAACATGGCGTCGGCACTGTCTCAAGTCAGACAAAACTTCTAACCAGCATGCACTGCTTCAAGTCAGCTGCCGATCGGTCTGCACAGCGCCGCATGAAGTCGAACATAGTAGGTGTGTTCGACTTGAAGCGGCGCTGCGCAGATCGATCGGTGTATGACTATGTCATCAAAGTTCCGCGAGAGTGATTAGACCGCAGACATCTCGTCACAAATCGAACACACCTAGTGTGACATAATTTGAGGGTGTGGTTAATGGTGTGAAATTGTTTAGGGGTGTGCCTAAGGGTGCTGCATTGTTAGGGGGTGTGGTTAAGGGTGTGGAATTATTAGGGGGTGTGGTTAAGGGTGCAGCATTGTTAGGGGGTGTGGTTAAGGGTGTGGCATTGTTTGGAGTGTGGTTAAGGGTGTGGCATTGTTTGGAGTGTGGTTAAGGGTGCGGCATTGTTAGGAGGTGTGGTTAAGGGTGCGGCATTGTTAGGGGGTGTGGTCAAGGGTGTGGCATGGTTAGGGGGTGTGGTTAAGAGTGCTGCATTTTTAGGGGGTGTGGTTAAGGGTGCAGCATTGTTAGGGGGTGTGGTTAAGGGTGTGGTATTGTTACGGGGTGTGGTTAAGGGTGTGGCATTGTTACGGGGTGTGGTTAAGAGTCCTGCATTTTTAGGGGGTGTGGTTAAGGGTGCGGTTAAGGGTGCAGCATTAGGTGCGTTCGACTTCATGCGGCGCCGCGCAAACCGATCGGCGGCTGACTTGAAGCAGTGCATGTCGGTTAGAGATTTATCAACCAATGAGAGACAGGACACATGACTAAGACAACGAATGATAACATGACACATGAACCAAAGAACCAATTAGAACATAACACACAAGGTCCGTTCGACTTCATGCGGCGGCGCGCAAACCGATCGGCGGCTGACTTGAAGCAGTGCATGTCGGTTAGAAATTTAGTCCGACTTGAACCGGCGCCGACGCCACGTCACTGTCACGTGTGGTATCAAAGTACCGCGATATTGTTTCGAGAGCAGCCGGCTGACTCAGCTGGCGCAGCTTTTTCAGAGCGACTGCAGGTGTGCTGATGACGACACAGCTGTTTCACGATTGGCCAAATTCACCACATGA